AATCCTCTGACACTATTGATCCTGCTGCTGTATCAAGCTGCATGTATTTAATAAATTCCTCCAACTAGCTCAGAATATCAAACAGGTTTTACAAGCGTTGGCACTTCCTCGTATTTGGCGTAAGATATTGCATGCAGCACACTTACTCCGAGATTCACGCACGTCTAGATATTTATGGAAGTGTGTTGCGTTTATGTGCCTTTTTTGTACACGAGGAAAGCGTGTATATGGTTGGGAAAACTACATTTCAAAACACAACGCACCACGGGAGGCATAAAAAATAGTTGTATACCCATTTTGAAAAGCGAGTGTCCAGATAACTATCATTATATTCAAACAATAAACAAAATTATCAAAGTAAAAACAACAACAAAAACAAAAACAAGCATATTCACTACACTACGACCTAGAATGCCAATCTACATATTCTTTTTGTGTTATAGCGAGTGTTTTTGACTAACCTGATCCCCGACTGGGGCTTATTTTGCGGTATTTAGGTGCGTCTGACGCTGAGGGATTTCTGTCATTTTTAATTCTCCGCCTCTGTCCTTTTCTTTTCTTCCGACCATCCATTTCGCGGTTTCTCTAAAAGTAATCTGTAGCAGAAGCAGGTAGATACTGGGAGCACTGCGAAAGAAGTGCACGGGTGCATGCGCGCAGCAGGGGACACCCAGTGGCGAGTTGCACTTGAAGTGAACTCAGAGAGGTCATTTGTTACTGTTTGCAGTATAGCAGTTTGTGCAGTAACTGTTCACGCTAGGCCAAAACGACTCTCGGCACACCAGAAAATGTCCTTACAGTTCCGATGAGCTTCCTGCCACTGAGGGTGGCGTTTATTAGACACACTCTAAGTAAATTAGAAATACTATATGACACCAGAAATGACCAAAATCTGCGTGTCTGTTCTAAACTGTTAACTGCTGGCGTGAGTTCACATATTCATGGTCAAATGTTAAACGTCTCTTTGAGGCGTCAATTAGGCATTGGACCAGTTGGCTGAATCACCTACTGTAACACCTACTGAAATAACAAAACTATAGCAATTAGGTCTTCAGTTGTGTTGTTTTGAATACACTCAGTTTTTTCCCAATCTTTGTGTTTGACCCCACCACGCTGATGGGGTACTGAACACGCAGCATGTATTGAAACAAATAAGATATACATCGCTATATCAACAGTCTTGCTTTACCATGAATAATTGTCATAGGTATTCATATATTTAATAGTCACAAATTCCTTAATCACTTCAGTTCATTTTAGTTCATTTGATAAAGTTCCTTTGATAAACTGTTTAAACAAATGATCAAAAGTTTAAAAACACTTCAGTTTTCTATCTCCTAATTGCAAAGACTTGGGAGAAATTCTTTCAAATGCTCCAAATCACATAAATTAATACAATAGTTTTAGGATTGTGTTAAGGTTATGGTTACTTCCTTTCTGAGGTTTCATTTTTAAATACTCCAACCATAAAAACTTATTTATTTATTTATTTTACTTTAAACTGAATTTCTAAAACGATTTGAAACAATGTTTGTACTACACTGTGAATTTAAGCAATGACAACCAAAAGCAAAGAAAAATATCATTTCCTATAAGAAGGGGGTGTGTAATGTAAAGCGTAATTTTCTGCAAAATGAGGAAATTTATATGTCAAGAGGCCAAGATGTTTGACCCTAAGGTCATTGTCCCTCTTTGCTTGTTAAAGTCAATTATCAGTCAGACTTGATCTGTTCACTTCCTCACAATCCTCTTGTAATCTAATTTTGCTAATTTAAGGATAACCTTGAGCAGGTATAAAACACCAAGGCAGCCATAAACTACCTGTGTGTGGTTGGTTTACACCTTTCTAACACTACTGGGATATTCCATCAGCTGAAACCCAAGCAAAATAGACAACAGAAGATGGCTTGGGAAGGAGGAATTGAGCCCAATGGCACTGAAGGCAAGAACTTCTACATTCCCATGTCCAACAGGACTGGGATTGTTAGAAGTCCTTATGAGTACACTCAGTATTACCTGGCAGACCCGATCTTTTTCAAGCTCCTGGCTTTCTACATGTTCTTCCTGATCTGCACTGGGACTCCCATCAACGGCCTGACATTGTTCGTAACTGCTCAGAACAAGAAGCTCCGGCAACCTCTCAACTATATCCTGGTCAACCTGGCTGTGGCTGGACTCATCATGTGCTGCTTTGGATTCACCATCACCATCACATCAGCTGTTAATGGCTACTTCATTCTTGGAGCCACCTCCTGTGCAGTTGAGGGATTCATGGCCACACTAGGAGGTAAGCAAGAAGTCAGATCCTTTTCAGGATCCTTTCTATTTCATTGGCAGATATACAATATCAATGAATAACTCACCTTTTCTGTCTACAGGTGAAGTTGCTCTCTGGTCACTTGTTGTCCTGGCTGTTGAGAGATACATTGTGGTCTGCAAACCCATGGGAAGCTTCAAGTTCACTGGAGCTCATGCTGGTGCTGGAGTACTCTTCACATGGATCATGGCAATGGCTTGTGCTGCACCTCCACTCTTTGGATGGTCAAGGTACTCAGATATTTCTGAATATTTTATTTAGTTAAATAGCCTTTTGTACTTTTAAGCCACTAACTTGAAAATGAGATATTTTCACTCACAAAACTAGATGTTAAATGTAAAGAGCTATTTTTACTGAATGAGGACATGACTTTCTTTCTCACAATCTCACACAGGTACCTTCCTGAGGGAATGCAGTGTTCCTGTGGTCCCGACTACTACACACTGGCTCCAGGTTTCAACAATGAGTCATATGTCATCTACATGTTTGTTGTTCACTTCTTCTTTCCTGTCTTCATCATTTTCTTCACTTATGGAAGTCTTGTGATGACAGTCAAAGCTGTAAGTGAAGCTAAAGTTCTTAAATTATTTATAATAGACCAGTTAATCTAACCAAGCTAGCCATTGCTACTGTCGAATTTATTGGTGTTATATTAATCTAACTGACCATAAAACTTAACAGGCAGCAGCACAGCAGCAGGACTCAGCTTCTACCCAGAAAGCTGAGAAGGAAGTGACCCGTATGTGTGTCTTGATGGTCTTGGGCTTCCTGGTAGCTTGGACACCATATGCTAGCTTCGCCGGTTGGATTTTCATGAACAAGGGAGCTTCTTTCAGTGCCCTCACTGCAGCCATCCCTGCTTTCTTTGCAAAAAGCTCAGCCTTGTACAACCCTGTTATCTACGTGCTAATGAACAAACAGGTTGGTGTTATGTATTCTTACAGTTTTCTTCTCTGTTTTTCAGTCTTTTGCTGTTTTCTGAGTTTCTGAATTGGCTGTGTCTTTCAGTTCCGTAACTGCATGCTAACCACCATTGGAATGGGCGGCATGGTGGAGGATGAGACATCAGTTTCAGCAAGCAAGACAGAGGTGTCCTCTGTGTCTTAATCATGATGGCATCTTCAGATATAAGGACACTGATGATCGCTCGCAAATTTTCAAAATTCCCATTAGAGAAATCTTTTGCCAAATGGATTTAAGAAGCAGACTTTGGACAAAAACACTAAGGAATTCTATCTTATCTTATCTCTGAACTAACAAAAAATGCATTTTCTGTTGAGGTGATCTTGTACAGCAGTTGTGCGTCTGTGTGCATGTGAGAGCATTTGAGTGAGTGAGTCGATGTGTAGGAACTCAGATCCTCAAAATGTCAAAAGAAAAACTGTAAAACTGCTGAAATGTGACACTTTTACCTGATGAATGTGCAATCACATGCGTGTGTGTATACTTAACTGGTCTACCAGTGGTGTTATTTTTATGTATAAAAAAATAAAATATAGACTTGAGTAGAAAATAAATGCATGCATGAAAAGAAACGTACCTGTTTGTTGTTTAACTCTAAAGCTTTACACACAGATTATATTTTTATCCTGTTTAAATCCAAAGGGCGGCAATGCACACACACACACACATACACGAGTTCGCCTTGTAATTGGAAGGTTGCTGGTTCGAGCCCCGGCTTGGACAGTCTCGGTCATTGTGTCCTTGGGCAAGACACTTCCCCCGTTGCCTACTGGTGGTGGTCAGAGTGCCCGGTGGCGCCAGTGTCCGGCAGCCTCGCCTCTGTCAGTGCGCCCC